CTGTATCAGAAAATCTAAAAAATAGATTTCGAATCTAGGGTCTAGAAAAAAAAAGAGGATCGTTATATCCCGATATTATATGAATAATGGAATAGTATTAAAATTTGATAATTGACATACTTTGTTTTATATTAGATCTACACATCTACACATAGAAAAGAATAACAATGCGCGACTGCGCTCTTTCGTGCCTTGTAACATTACCTGCGCGATGGCATGGGTAATATGTATGAAAAAATGAGAGTGAAATGTAAGATGCTATCCTTTTGTTTGAACACTCGAAATGGATACCTATTGTTGGGCCTCTCCTTCGAGTCGCACTTTGCTTGACTGCGATGCAGAAGTGCATTCGTAAGTGCACAGACGAGTTGCAGAGAAAGTCTCGAGTTTGCGTATAACACGGTATTCTACCGTGCGGAAGCAATCCGACAATTTAAATACTATATCATTATTTTATTTGTTTATTACAATTAATTTTATAAAATTTCATTTCAAACTTTCTTTACCTAAAAGATAATTATTATAACGATATAACTTGAAGATTTGTTTTTACATACTTTTAAGTGTGCAATCAATTATAATTGCATAGCCAATCAATTTTTGATTATAAAAATATATGTATGAATATATAGATTTTTATAATCAAGGGATATAAATATTTTGAAAAATTTCTAATGCAACATTTGCTTAGCGGATGTACGAGAAAATTGAACGGCCGTGTTGCTTTTCCGCGTGCAGTAATTCACTTGTCATCAACGCATCTTAATGAGAGATAAAGCCAAGAGAGGCCAATTGCATTCCTCTCGGTACTAGGTAATGGACATGTTTGCTTCCAATGCTATAGATCTTCATAAGGAATGATCTTTATAATGAGATATATGATCTTTTGTATTAATCACTTGTAAGCGTGATGCGGAAGATGTAGAAGATAATTGCGATTTTTCGCATTATTTCACATTACGATATAATTTTTTATACTATAATATTTCTTAAAATTTGTTATAAAATTTTGTTACTGAACGACAGATTAACGATAATAAAATAACAGTCAATCAAGTGACACAGCAGACATTAACCTTGTAGGTGGCCATTATCAATCGAGAAAGAAGAGATACACACATAAGAAAAAAGATTCCTTAATGAGATTACATATCAAGATTGTATTGTAA